TCATCAAATGGGGAATGGATATTATCGGACCCCTTCCAGCAGGGCGAGGTAATATACGATTTCTTTTGGTTTTAACTGACTATTTTTCCATATGGGTAGAAGCAGTTGCTTTTGCCCAAATACACGAACAGGAAGTTATCACATTCATATGGAGAAACATCATATGCCGCTTCGGCATCCCCAAAGAAATCAGCTGTGACAATGGACCCCAATTCACTGGAAAAAAGATCGTCGAATTTTTCAAAAAATGGCACATCAAGCGAATACTCTCCACGCCATATAACCCAGCCGGTAACGGCCAGGCCGAATCCTTCAACAAAACAATACTAAATATCTGGAAAAAAAGCTTGAGGACGCCAAGGGACTATGGCCGGAATTACTACTGTGGGCTTACTGCACCACGCCAAAAACAAGCAATGGAGAAACGCCATATTCACTAGTCTATGGAACTGACGCCATGATACCTGTCGAGGTTGGGGAACCTAGTTTGAGATACTCCAATGAAAGCGAAGCAACAACGAGAACAGGAAAGAAGACCTCGACGAAGAAGAGGAGTGAAGAGACATGGCAGGCATAAGAATGATAGCCCAAAAACAACAAGCAGGACGGTACTACAACAAAAAAGCCAAAGTACGACCACTCAAAGTCGAAGACTACGTACTCAAGGCCAAAACACAGGCGAGCAAAGATTCAAGAGAAGGTAAACTTGGAACCAATTGGGACGAGCCATACAAAATCAAGGCAACAGCAAACAAAGGATCATTCCAACTAGAAACAATGGAGGGAAAGCTACTACAAAACAATTGGAACGTCGCCCACCTCAAATACTTCAACTTCTAAAAACGGACGCCCTCCAAGTCGTACTCTTTTTCCCTCGCCCGGGTTTTGTCCCAATTGGGTTTTCTCGGGGAGGTTTTTAATAAGGCGACGAAGGGGACGTCTCAAAATACAAGTATAATTCATCGCCCCGCCTGCCGACTACTTCCTCCAGGCAGAACGATGAAGGGACTAGGTACACTGGAACTTCTCCAATATATGTATGGAACAAACAGAAATATGTAATATTCTCCAATGAATGAAATCAAGAAGCATCTTTGCTCTCCACCAAGTCACTTTACATTTTACATTCGACCTCGCTCGAATCGTTTTTCATTCGACCTCGCTCGAATTATTTTACATTCAGCCTCGCTCGAATCGTTTACATTCGACCTCGCTCGAATTATTCAGCATTCGACCCTGCTTGAATTATTTTACATTCGACCTCGCTCGAATCATTTTACATTCGACCTTGCTCGAATTATTTTATATTCGACCTTGCTCGAATCGTTTACATTCGACCTCTCTCGAATTATTTTATATTCGAGCTCGCTCGAATCGTACATTCGACCTCACTCGAATTATTCTACATTCGACCTCGCTCGAATTATTTCACATTCGACCTCGCTTGAATTGTTTTACATTCGACCTCGCTAGAATTACTTCACATTCGATCGCGCTCGAATTGTTCGACGTTCGACCTCATCAAACATCGATCTCATCCGAGATAAATTAAACCTCAGGTCAGTCTATGTTCGACTCAACCAATATCAACCATATACAAACAATCGAAAAATCAGGGGCTTCCCCCCATAGCAAAACGATAAGAGAACGGAAATCAAGAAATACCTAGCAAAAAGGGAACTGTTCCATTTCAACCACCGAATTACAACACTTTTTACAAAGGGCTCAAAGATGCCCTCACAAAAATAGCAAAGCAAAACAAAAACTAAGTAGTTTAACAAAGAGTTTAACACTTTTTGATCAAACACTTAATATGAAGAGAATGAAAAGAGAACGAATTTTGGAAATTTTTTGTGTGTATTTCTCTGTACAGTGTAATCTATTTATACAAAAGAATAGAATCTAGTCTAAACAAACTTTGCTAAGTGGCAGTTTTACTAGCCTATTCCTACAGCTATTGTAACAAACTTTTGTAACAGACTAAAAGAATATTTACAAAAGAATGATTCTGTCTACTAAGTAAAATATCTCTTTCTATCTTCTGGTTTTGTCTTAGAATGAGCCAATGGAATAACTGAAGCTTTAAGGCCCATTGGAGTAGAACTACGTCCAAAACAAAAGAGGCCCGTTTAGAGTTAAGTCCAAGTCCAAAAAGGTCTGCCCTCCTTTCCCTAAGATATACACCCTTCGCAGACACAAATCAAAACATAAGTAACCTAGCCGATTTTGTCTCCATTGTATTTCTTCATACTTTCATCGGAGAATTCGAGAGAAGCTTCATTTTCTTTTCTAACACCAACACCCCCCATCAAGTTGGAGGGGGATGAAAGGACACCCAACTTGTTCAAAAGATGGTGATGAATCGGCCCTGTGAGAGACTTGGTGAACATATCTGCGAGCTGAGAAGAGGAGCGAACATATGAGAGTGAAATTAGGTCGGCGAGGAACTGTTGTCCGACGACATGATAGTCTAGTTCGACATGATTTCGTTTTTTCGTGAAAAATAGGGTTTTTCGCGATATGAATAGCTGTCTGACTCTCCTAATGAAGAGGAACAGGAAGTGAAATTGGGATAGAAAGATCAGCAAAAAAGCGTACCAACCAAGTGAGCTCAGCCAAAACTCGTCTCATTGAACGATATTCAACTTCTGTAGAACTAAGAGAAATGGATGTTTGTTTTTTTTATTTCCATGAAATTGGGGATGAGCCAAGAGAGATGTAGAAGCCACTGACGGATTTGCGCGAATTAGGGAAAGTGGCCCATTCGGAATCGCAAAAGTCAAGGAGCTGGTATGAAGGTGAGGAAGACATAAAGAGCCCAAGTCCAGGATCCTTCGATAAATAGCGGAGGACACGAAATGCAATATTGAGATAAGGCTGTCTAGGATCCTGCATGTACTGGCTAAGGTTCTGTACAGTGTAGGATAAATAGTTTTGTATGTGTCAAGTAATTTAGCTTGCCCAACAAATGGTGATACAAGGTCGGGTCAGGGATAGAGTCACCAGTCTGAGCAAGTAAGCGAGCAGATGGGTCAAGAGGGCAAGAAACAGGTGACTTGTGGAGAGAATCAAATTCCTGCAGTAAATCAAGGGTGAAGTTGCGCTGAGACAGAATCAAACCATGAAACTCGTAGAACTTCCATTCCCAAAAAATAATTTAAGTGTCTAAGATCCTTGATTCTGAACTCCTGATGTTAAAGTTCTTTCAATGCAGTCAATTCCTTTGTATCGTTCCCTGTCAGTAATATACCATCGACATATACTGCCACAATAGAGATAGATGAATCTGTCCATTTAAAAAACAAAAAATAATCGTTCAATGAATGTGTGTATCCCTTGAATGTAAGCTTAGAATACCATTGCCTAGAAGCTTGACGAAGTCCATAAATGGACTTCTTCAACTTATAAACATGGTTAGGAGAAGGTGGTGTAAAGCCAATTGGGAATTTCATATAGACTTTTTCGTTTAAATCACCATGTAAGAACGCATTGTTCACATCCAATTGATAAAGACCCCAACTTTTCTTAACTGCAACAGCTAAAATGCATCTGATGGTGGTCATCTTGACCAGCGAGGAAAAGGTCTCATTGAAGTCTATCCCTTCTCTCTGTATATTACCTCTTACCACCAAACTAGCCTTTAGCATTTCCACACTACCATCTGATCGTTGCTTCACCTTGTAGACACATTTGCAAGGTAAAGCCTTTCTACCTGGGGGTAATTCTATGACTTCCCAAGTTTTATTGAGCTCAAGTGCAGCGATTTCCTGTTCCATGGCTTCCTGCCACCCTGGTGATGTTCAGCCTATGAATAACTAATAGGTTCATGATAGAGAATTCAGCATATGTTGATTAGTGTTGGAAAGATTACTAATAGACAAGGATGGAGGAGAGACTGGGGCAAGAAAACATGTAGTACTCACATCTGAGAGGTGAAGAGCATTACAATTGTAATCCTTGAGGTATGTAGGAGGACTGTGAGATCTGGTAGATTTTCTAATTAGAGTACCTACCATAGGTTGAGAAACAGGTGAAGAGAGTGAAGGAAAAGGGATACTACAAGAGGAGCAGCCTGGTGATGATCCAACTAGTAATGGGCTGTTAGGGAATAGAGTTATACTAGGGTAAGAAGTAGGAGAATAAACAATAGGGTAGGAGAAGAAGAAACAGTAGATGTAGGAGAAGGAGTAGAAGTAGAGTGTTGGTTGTCAGATGAAACCAAAGGTGAGGAGGAGTCTGAGTTTAAGGGAAATGAATTGTTCAACGTGGCTGTTGGCAGATAAGAAGCCCCTATAGATTCAGATTTGATAGAAGCAAAGGCAAAAAATTCCTCATGAAATATTACATCGCTAGAAACAAAGACTTTTAATGTCTTCAGATCAACCACCTTATAACCCTTTTTGCCATGTGGATAGCCTAGAAACACACAAGGAACAACCCTTGAGTCAAATTTGGATCTATGTCTTGAAAGGGTGGAGGCAAAGCATAGACAACTAAAACATCTTAAATTAGAATAGCTAGGTTTGGTTTAAAAAAGGACTTCATAAGGAGTCTTGAATTTTAATACTCTAGAAGGGTATCTAGTGCTCAAATAAGTGGATGTGAGCAGGCAGTCCCCCCAAAAAGATATAGGTATATGAGATTGAAATAATAGAGCTCTAGATGTCTCTAGTAAGTGCCTATGTTTTCTCTCCACAACTCTATTATGTTGTGGAGTGGACACACAACTGGTTTGATGTATAATTCCTTGGGATAGAAAAAAATCTGTTTGGACAATTCCAAAACCCAATTCAGAAGCATTATCTGATCTGATTATCTTAACTTTTTTATGAAATTGCCTCTCTACCATTGCTAAATAAGATTTTAACACAGTGAAAGCTTTGACTTGTTACTTAGTAAATAGGTCCAAGTCCCTCTATTGTAGTCATCAACTATAGTGAGAAAATATTTATAACTATCATAGGTAGTATCCTTGTAGGGTCCTCAAGTATCCACATGGATTAGTTCAAAGATCTTTTTGGTTGATATAGAACTTGAAGGAAAAGGAAGCTTGATTGTCTAGCCATATGACAAATAAGACAAGGAGTAGAATGAGTAAAGCATGAAGGAACAGAAATATCAGAAATTTTCTTCATAGTACTCAAAGGCATATGGCCTAACCTATAATGCCATAGCTTTCCTTTTACATTGGAATCAGAAAAAGCAAAACAAGAATTAAAAACTAGAACAGAATGTAAACTCTGCCTAGGTACAGAAGTACTAGACTTAGGGAAACTTTTAAAAACTGGGCCTGCAGGTCTTGACTTGAGAATGAAGAGTCTTTCTGTCTCCTTACCAATCTCCAAAGGGCTCTTCAGTGAAGGGTCCTGCAGCAGAAAATAAGAATTAGGAGTGAGAAGAACATACTGTTGGAGTTGTTTGCACAAATTGTGCACAGACAACAGATTGAATCTAAAAGAAGGCACATACAGCACATTGTGCAAAACTGGGTTCGTAATAATGCAACAGAACCTGAATATGTAACTCTTACTCTATGTGATTAGGCAGATTGACCATGACAGGTTTAGGCAAGGCTTTATAGTTAACAAAGAAATTTATGTTAAAGGTCATATGCTCAGTTTCTCCACTATCTAATATCCATGATTCACTATCAATTTGAATGAAACAGGCAAAGGAATTGAAAATTTTGGCTATTCCAGCACAACTCAAATTCACAGAGGCTTCAGAGGTTTCTGCACCTTGCTGTCCTATGTTGACCTGTTGTAGAAGCTGCAATAATTGTGTCACATTTTCCTGGGTAAGTGACTGTGTTCCTAGTACATTCATGTTTCCTTGGATTCCCTCTTCATTTGTGTTAAACACATCATTTGCCTGTACATTCTCTTGAAACTTCCTTTGCTTAGTAAACTTAAAATCTGCAGGAACTCCATGAATCCTATAGCATTTATCAATAGTATGCCCAGGTTTTTTGCAGTAAGTACATATTCCAACATTCTTTCTAGGATCAAAACCTCCCTTCTGTTCCTGATTTTCATTGAACCTTCTTCCATTTCCCTGCTGGTTTGTAGCAAGGAAAGATCCTGATTCTCCTGGATATGCAGGAGCAGTATGAATCTCCTTCTGCTTCTCATCCTGTATCACCAGTGAATAAGTCTGTCCAATGGAAGGTAAGGGTGAAGAAAATAATATATCGCTCCTAACACCTATGAATATGTCATTCAAACCCATCAAAAACTGCAGCAACCTTTCATCTTGATGTGCCTTCAAATTCTTCACCTTAGCTCCACATTCACATTCACAAACACATGCTGAGAATGTGTTCAAGGAATCAAGCTCATCCCATAAGCTATTCATCTTAGTAAATTAGGTTGATACACTAGAATTACCTTGTACCACAACACTAAGTTTCTTTTGCAGCTGAATAACTTAGCTCCATTAGTGTGTCCAAATCTGTCTTCCAAATCACTCCACAAGTCCTTGGCACTTTGAGAGTATAGAACACTCTCTCCTATCTCTTTAGATAGAGAAATGAGTAGCTATGACAATACAATGTCATTATACCTTGCCCAAGTCTACACTTCCTTAATTTGGTCATGGTAGTTTTATTGCCGGAAAATGCCAAAAAATATAATTTGGTCATGGCGGGGCGGTGACTATGGTTCCTTAGGTCGTATTTGATGTCCCGCAAAAATATTAGGGGATCCGGGTCCGGGGGCCCGCCCCACAGCGGAAGGCGTGGGCTATAACACACAAAAATATTAGAATCGGGCAGAATTCCAGTTTTATTGCCGTAAAATGCCAAAAATGTAATTTGGTCATGGCGGGGCGGTGACTATGGTTCCTTAGGTCGTATTTGATGTCCCGGACAAATATTAGGCGATCCGGGTCCGGGGGCCCGGGCCCACAGCGGAAGGCATGGGTGACTATGGTTCCTTAGGTCGTATTTGATGTCCCGGAAAAATATTAGCTGATCCGGTTCTGCGGGCCCGGGCCCACGGCGGAAGGCGTGGGCTATAGCACACGAAAATATAGAAATCGGGCAGAATTCCAATTTTATTGCCGTAAAACGCCAATAAATGTAATTTAATCATGTAGGGGCGGGGACTATGGTTCCTTAGGTCGTATTTGATGTCCCGGACAAATGTTTTATACAATATCATGTCACTACACCATGAATCTTATAGCATCTATCAATAGTATCCCAGGTTTTTTGCAGTAAGTACATATTTTAGCATTCTTTCTAGGATCAAAACCTCCTTTCTGTCCCTTATTTTCGTTGAACCTTCTTCCATTTCCCTGCTGGTTTGTAGCAAGGAATGATCCTGATTCTCCTGGATATGCAGGAGCAGCATGAATCTCCCTCTGCTTCTCATTCTGTATCACCAGTGAATAAGCCTGTCCAATGGAAGGTAGGGGTAAAGACAACAATATATTGCTCCTAACACCTATGAATATGTCATTCAAACCCATAAAAAACTACAGCAACCATTCATCTTGATGTGCCTTAGAATTCTTCACCTTAGCTCCACATTCACATTCACAAACACATGCTGAGAAAGTGTTCAAGGCATCAAGCTCATCCCATAAGTTTTTCATCTTAGTAAAATAGGTTTATACACTAAAATTACCTTGTATCACAGCACTAAGTTCCTTTTGCAACTGAAATAACTTAGATCCATTAGTTTGTCCAAATCTGTCTTCCAAATCACTCCACAAGTCCTTGGCACTTTGAGAGTAAAGAACACTCTCTCTTATCTCCTTAGATAGGGAATTGAGTAGCCATGACAATACCATGTCATTACACCTTGCCCAAGTCTTTTGAAGTCAGAATCAGCTTGTGGAATAGTAAGAGCTCCATCAATAAAACCAAGCTTATTTTTTGCAGATAAAGCAATTACTACAGCTCTTCTCCTTCCACTAAAGCTTCTTCCATCAAAAACTGTGGACACAAGATTCATCCCTGGATAATCCGAGGGATGAAGATAGTAGGGATATGATGAATGAACCACTCCACTCATAACTGAAGCTTCTGGTACAACATGGTCGACAGTGGAAGTGGCTGATGCGAGAGGATCTGGAGTCAGTCCAGTGGTACTCATAGCTGAAGAGAAGAAGGCAAAAAAGCAACACCAAAATCGTTGAAGGATCGTGAAAAAAAAAATGAAGCAGTTCAAGCCTGCTCCGCTACCATGAAGAGAATGAAAAGTGAATGAATTTTAGAAATTTTCTGTGTGTATTTCTATGTACAGTGTAATCTATTTATACAAAAGAATAGCATCTAGTCTAAACAAACTTTGCCAAGTGGCAGTATTTTACAAGCCCATTCCTACAGCTATTGTAACAAACTTTTGTAACAGACTAAAAGAATATTTACAAAAGAATGATTCTATCTACTATGTAAAATTTCTCGTTCTATCTTCTGGGTTTGTCTTAGAATGTGCCAATGGAATAACTGAAGCTTTAAGGCCCATTTGATGTAGAACCAAGTCTAAAACAAAAGAGGCCCGTTTAGAGTTAAGTCCAAGTCGAAAAAGGTCTGACCCATCCTTTCCTTAAGATATACACCATTCTCAGACACAAATCAGAACCGATTTTGTCTCTATTGTCTTTCTTCATACTTTCATCGGAGAATTCGAGAGAAGCTTCATTTTCATTTCTAACACCACAATAATATAACCATTTGAATTTTGATATTGTTTTATATATAAAAAAATATTATAGTATAAGAATTTTGAAGTTAAAATTTTGCGAATTTATTTTTGTGACAGCAAATATCACACAAGTAAAAAGATTAAATAAGCAAGAAATATATCACATTCTTTTTTAGTAGCATGTGAATAAGTTTCCATTCTATTGAACAAAATAATTTTCCCTTAGTTTACTATTTCTATGAATCATTGGCTATCACTATATCAAAACCAACATACCAAATATACTTTCATTTAGCGGGATATGAGAAGAGTAGTGTATACGTAATCCTTATACTCTCGACTCAAGAAAAGAATAAATACAACAATAATGAAAAAAATACGGTATATATACAAAAAAAGACAGTAACAACAACAAGATTATAAGATGATCGAAATAAAAGAAATAACAGGTACTAATAGAAATCTAAGGAAAAAAAATAAGAATTCGTACTAGTACTACTGAAAAAGAAGAACGTTCTACTAACCTTCTATCATAATTCTCGACCTTCACATGCTACTATTAATAATCATGTCCTCGTTAAGTTAATTAGTTGTGTCCAAACTCGGAAGTGAAAAATAAATTTCTAAATTAAATTTGACCTCCTCCTCCTCGTCTTCCTCCATCTGACCAAACCTTAGCAACTGCTTATGAAATTTAGACAAAAGTCTGAATATTTTTCTGAAATAGAACTTGCAATTGTCAACTCCTTAAATTTTTCTCTTTCTGTCTTTCACATTCTCTCATGTTTCAGTTCTTGACTCGTAGCCAAAATAAAATGGTGAAAAAGTTGGCGTTGTTGAGCCCCAAACAGAAGGCCCCAGAACTGAGCCTCGAAATCCTACTCATTAGTCATAACTGCTTTTTTTGGGGTTCACTTTCCAATACTTACAGCTACAGACAGAGATGCGCAGAGAGTCTGCAGAAGCTTACAACCTAAATATTTTTTTAATTTATTTTTGTCTGTCGTGTTCTTTTCTTTTTTCTCAATTGTCTTGTCTGACTGTCTTCCTCTCAAGTGCCTATAGCTTACCTAAAAGCCTTTTTCATTTCTTTTACTTTTCTCAAGTGCTCACTGCCTCAAGATTTTCTTTTTGCTTTATGTATCCATTTGAAATTCCAATCAATTTCAGTTTTTGTCGGTAACAACAATAACAATAACCATATATTCACTATAATTTGAGTCCGAAACAACAGTTAGTACGCAATCTTAACCCTGTCTTATGCTGTCTGCAACAAGTGATCAAATTTGTCATTTTATTTTGATCCAAAATAAGTATTCATTTATATAAAATTAAGATAAATTTTTTTTTTCGAATTACCCTTAAGTACGTATCCCTAAAAATCTTTTACTTCTCACATTAACTATGCTGCAACATTTAATTACGGATAATTTAGTCACACTAACTATTTTTCTCTAGAATTTTATATTTTCTTAATGAGTGTGCCCAATGCAAATTGGTCACTTATTATAAACTGGAGGAGTACAAGTAAAGAGACGGTTCCGGATAAACCCTCAGCACAAGGCGAATACGCATATAAACACAATAGTATAGACTATAGAGGAAGACATGCAGGAGCAAAAAAATCATAGAAATTTTTGTTGGTAAAATTAATTAAAAGAAAATCGGTCCTAACATGCGTTTTTGCCGAGGATTCAAAATTAAATTTTAATTAACATCGATCGCTATACTTTTTGACTTACTAAAGGGAAATTATTTCTATTAAGGAGTTTGTTAATCCAGCATAATTGTCTCAAATATTAATTTTGCGTATGGTTCAGCCATTCATCAGAACGCACTAGCTGGATTATTGTATTTGTATTGTAGAATGCTTATTATGGGTTATAATACTCAATATCAAAGAAAATTTTACGTTGAAAGTTGGGGCATGATGTTCTTCATTCATTGCTTTTTTATACTGTACATAACTTTAATTTTAGAAGCAAAGCTTAATTAATTACCAAAAAAAAAAATTAAAGTCGAGACTGCTGATTACTAGCAGAATTTTTTTACAATTTTATAGTAAAAAGATAGCTGGATTCACAAGTGACGCAGAATCGGAAAAAAGATCACATTTCAAGAGATTAAAGCAGATTATTCTCGCGACTCATAAATATGGTTAATGGTATATTAAATGGCATAATTCCACTTGTGCAGGGTTTCCCACTGCAAAAGAGAGTCCGAAACCAAAATGTTGCTATTTTGGAATCAAAACACATAAATAGGTGTAAAAAAAAAAAAGTAACAAAAATATATATAGCGCCAGAAATAGTGGCGCTATATATAAACGGTAACTGGACCGTTTATGTATAGCGCCACTATTTCTGGCGTTATACACTGTCAGAGTGATATAGCGCCACTATTTCTGGCGTTATACACTGACAGTGATATAGCGCCAGAAATAGTGGCGTTATATCCCTCCCTAAAAAACCCTCCATCTTCTTCTTCCCCCGTCTTCTTCCTCCATTATTCTAATCCCCCTTCCTAAAATTGGTCCCCCCTCTGTCCGCCACTAAAAAAAAAACAAAAAATTTTGGGTCCCCCCGGCACATAAAACTTGAAGAACGTAGGTCCCACACTCGAGTAGAGCTTCTTGTTATTGTTGATTCACGCTTTCGGAGTCAAATTTTCTATCTATTTGCTTTTCGAAAATTCTAAATCGAGGTATTTCGATTTATTTTAAGTTGAAACTTTTATAATAATGCATATTATTTGATTTGTATGTGTTCTATTTCGGTTGGTGGTTTTATTTTCGAAATTAGCATCTTAAATTTATCCGGATTTAATTTTACTGTTTTATATAAAAATATAAATTTGTCTGCTAATATTCTCATTTATATATATGTGCTTTCATGCCGTTTTGTGTTTTATTTGCAATTAAATTTATTTGTTATTTATGTTTAGTTTAGATTATTTTTTAGCGTAGTAAAATCTAGACCTTTTTAGCGTAGTAAAACGTAGACCCTTTTAGCGTAGTAAAATTTAGAGCCTTGTAGCGTAGTAATGTGTAGTATTTTAGCTTAGAATTCCTTTTGTTTTAGTATCTNATGTATTTTTTATAATTGAAATTCGTATTTTTTAATAACTTAATTGTATAAATTACTTACATATGGGTTCTGGGCTCCATATTTTGAGGATCGAAATACCAGTAATAGATACTAAAACAAAAGGAATTCTAAGCTAAAATACTACACATTACTACGCTACAAGGCTCTAAATTTTACTACGCTAAAAGGGTCTACGTTTTACTACGCTAAAAAGGTCTAGATTTTACTACGCTAAAAAATAATCTAAACTAAACATAAATAACAAATAAATTTAATTGCAAATAAAACACAAAACGGCATGAAAGCACATATATATAAATGAGAATATTAGCAGACAAATTTATTTGACAAATATATATTTTTATATAAAACAGTAAAATTAAATTCGGATAAATTTAAGATGCTAATTTCGAAAATAAAACCACCAACCGAAATAGAACACATACAAATCAAATAATATGCATTATTATAAAAGTTTCAACTTAAAATAAATCGAAATACCTCGATTTAGAATTTTCGGAAAGCAAATAGATAGAAAATTTGACTCCGAAAGCGTGAATCAACGATAACAAGAAGCTCTACTCGAGTGTGGGACCTACGTTCTTCAAGTTTTATGTGCCGGGGGGACCCAAAATTTTTTGTTTTTTTTTTTAGTGGCGGACAGAGGGGGGACCAATTTTAGGAAGGGGGATTAGAATAATGGTGAAGAAGAAGACGGTGGAAGAAGATGGAGGGTTTTTTGGTGAGGGATATAACGCCAGGTTTTCTGGCGCTATATCACTGTGTCAGTGTATAACGCCAGAAAACCTGGCGCTATATCACTCTGACAGTGTATAACGCCAGAAATAGTGGCGCTATACATAAACGCCAGTTAGCCGTTTATATATAGCGCCACTATTTCTGGCGCTATATATATTTTTGTTACCTTTTTTTTTACACCTATTTATGTGTTTTGATTCTAAAATAGCAACATTTTGGTTTCGGACTCATGCAAAAGATATATAAAAGGGTCCACACAGAGGCAAAAAGCTTCTCCAAAACTTTCTCTTCATAGTTCACTTTCACTCCCTCACATTAAAATGCATCTTATCTTCATACCAGTAATAAAACCATAGTAAATAAAAGCCAAAACAGAAAGAAAAAAAAAGCCATCTTTCTCTCTCTCTCTCTATGGACTTCAATCTGAAGCAATGGAGAAACCAGCAACATGAGTCAGAAGAACAAGAAACACCAACTTCTTCTGCAAAAATACCAAGACTTCACCTTGACTTCGACTCTGCTTCTGATTCTGCTCTTCCATTGTTTGTATCTGAACCAACTACTAAATTGTCAGATTCAACAACCACTACTCCTACCAAATTTCCCAGTAAGAATAAAGTTTATGTTTTTTTCTTGCTTACAAGTTCAGTTTTATTGTTAGGTAGTATTACATGTGAAAAATATTTCGTTATTTTTTGCTTTTGTTGGAATAGGGATGGGGAGTAGTTACTTCAGTCTGGGCCAGTGGCAGGAGCTTGAACTGCAGGCTTTGATATATAGACATTTTATAGCGGGTGCACCTGTTCCTCCTGAACTTCTACATCTCGTTAAGAAAAGCATTATCACCTCATATTACTCCTCTCATCCCATGCAACAGTATCCTCATTACCAGCAAGCTTGTAAGTTAATTGCTTTATATTTTGCAGTTTAATTTATTTCAAGTGTGATACTATATATAATCCTGTCTTCTCTTTATTTTGTGTGTGTGTTTGTGGTGACTTCTTTGCTATTTTCAATGTAAATGCTTCTCTAAATTTCTGTTCTTGATGTATGTCTCTCTTAGTCCTTTGCTAATATCTTCAATACCTTATTACTTTGACTTATAAACACAATATAAAAACCTTTACCCAAACATAAAATTCTTTTCACTTAAAAAAACAAAACCAAATCCAAATGACTCAGTGTTAATGCCTTCCTGTGGTTGATAGTACATTATTCTTAATGTATCCAGGTATAAGCTTATAGGTTAATGAGCTCAACCGATGTGTATTACTGCATTCCAAGAATATTTCTGGCATATTTTTGTTGTAAATGATGTTTTCATTCTGAGTTTAACTTCTTTAATTTGATAGGGCAAAAGTACTTTAGACTATTTCACCTATACCATGCTTTGTGCACCATGGTGGCCTTTAATATAACTGGAGTATATTTAATTGTCCATAAAAAGTAAGTCTGGATTACCTGCTACTATTGATAAAATCATTTGATTTATAATCTACAAAGAAATGGAGTGACTAATGAACAATTTGTTTGAAGTGATGCAATCGGGTTACTGGGGAAGAGCAGCAATGGATCCAGAACCAGGGAGGTGTCGTAGAACTGACGGGAAGAAATGGAGGTGTTCAAGGGATGTAGTGGCTGGCCAGAAATACTGCGAGCGTCACGTTCATCGTGGCCGCAGCCGTTCAAGAAAGCCTGTGGAAATTCCCACACCTGCCATTAATGGTGGTAAACTCAACACTAGTACTACTGTTTCTCATCAAAACTTGGCAAAAATGGCTGGCCATTCTGCTGCTGCTGCTACTCATTTTTCTCTATCTGGACCTTCATCTTCCATTGATACTCTTCATCTCAATCAAAGGTACATATCTTTTGTTCATTATTTCTGCAGTTTATTAGGGCTTTTTTGTTACTCATTCTGCTTCAAGTTTATCTGTCGCTTAAGATCTTGCCACATCAATTAAGAAAATCATTTGATTGTATTAATTAATGACTATATGGCTTCTTGAAATAGAATGGTAGAATTTGAAAAAATACTCTTATGTTTTCTAAAGTTGAAAAATATTATTATTGTTTTTGTTGTTGCCAAGTAAATGTGAATGGAGGGAGTAGTTTAAATCTAGAGATATATACACTCATTTATGTGCAAGTTTCTGAAATAATTGTTCTTCATATTCATTGTTTTTTTTCTTTTGGGTACTAGCTAACTCATTTTCTCAGTGCAAAGTGTTACTTTGTGCAGACTCTCTTTACTGTTTTTTTTGCAAAAGAGAGATGACAAGAAGTTCAATTATGCATTAAAGCATTGAACTTTACTTTTTTCTTAAAAGGACCAATAAATATCCTCCATTATTCCCTTCTTCCCCATCCTCTCTTATTTTCCTACCACCTCCAAAGAGACATCTTTGTATATAACTGTTAAGTGTTACTTGTCTCCCAACAGGGAGAAAATCTATGTTAAACCTTGATCAAATAATTCCATTTTCTCTAAGTTCCTTTATCCTATTTTTTTTTTTCCTTTTTGCCTTATTGATTGGCAGGGTCCACTTATTGAATTATTCTTGGATTTTTAGAATCTGTTTAAGATTGTTTTGGCCCACTTTCAATTTTCTTTCTAGGTACCCCACAGGGTGCTGCTTTTTTGTTTGTGGGTAATAAGATTTCAGCCTATACAGTTGTTATGTTTATTGGGAAAATTACATATTATAGACGCTCTCAAAATAGTAACCGAAAAATGTATATTTATTATATATATATATATATATATATATATATATATATATATATATATATATATATATTTCTGTATGTTATATACAAAAAATATTCAAATTTTATACATTTTTGCTGCTACCGGAGGTAAATAGTTTCTGTCGCGGACTAAAAGTGATCTGTGCCCATGTTCTTTGTGCATTAAAAAGGTTCCCCTATGTATTTTACAGCTTTTTACTTCAATTTGTCCCATGCTTGATTTGGGCTGGGCTGTCATGATGTTTATTTGTAGGCCAACAGAGTCCAAAAAGGGTCCACTAGAAGCCCAAAAAGATATATCTGCTGATGGCAAATCCAGTGGCCAAATCCTCCGGCAATTTTTTGATGATTGGCCTAGCCAACTTCAAGAAGGTGACAATGTTGGAAGTAACTCAAGATCAGTAGTTTCTGCTACCAGCCTTTCCATTTCAATGCCCGGAAACCCCTCGTCCGACTTCTCGTTGAAGCTCTCAACCGGTGGAGATGGCTATAACTCTGATGCTCAAGTAGGTAACGTTCAACGGTCTACATGGCGAACCTCAATGGGTGGTGGGCCACTAGCCGAGGCCTTAAGGTCATCGACGACTAACTCCTCCCCGACCAGCGTTTTGTATGAGTTGTCACGAGGTAGCACGTCGGAGGCCAGCTATATTAGCACTTGATATTCAAAGTGTCTTGTTGATTTTTAGTGACAAAGGTGTTTCTTGGAAACTTTGTTGTTTTCTTCTTTTCCTTGATCATGGTGTTGTTTATTATTTTTTTTTTTTTTGCATTTGAGGCTTCACTAACTATCAGCTGTAAAAATGTGCATGGAATGTGGTGTGTATTAGTTTGAGTTTGGTGTGATATGAATATTTTGTTGACCAAAGTTATACATTTAGCTTTTGGTTAACTTTACCGTCAATTTGATGTTTTTGGAACTGTACTAGTGAACGATACAATTCCTTTAACAATTAGGTCCTGCTCGAACCCGCCTCATGGCCGGAGCATAGGGAGAGCGCTAACTACGGGTTCGACGATCTCTGTAACTTTTGCAAACCCAGTATTTATATTAGAAAATTCATAAAATATGTATAAATAACCCAGTAGCTAAGATGACTTATGGATTCGGTAACAAATACAGAACCCATAAATTTCTAATTCTAGCTCCGCCTTTGCTCATGCCCAAATTAATGGACAATTATAGCTTCTTTTACCCTCCCGTTATCTTATTTTGTATTCATTTTTTCCATTATTTTGAGGAACGAATTCAGCCACTTGGTGATTATATCATGTCAATTAAGTTTATTTGAATAGTCACATAATTTTGTTTGAATAGTCACAAATTAAAATTATACTTTTTGATATTATGTGCAATAGTTTGACTCAGTTTGAAAAAGGGTGAATTTCTTAAAAACCCCCCTAAACTATTACTTTATTATCAGTTACCTTATTAAACTATCCGGTGTCACCAAATTCCCCTTAACTATATACAACTATATATTAAAAAACCATTGTCAATTTTTTAGTGGTGAGTGTGATACACCCTTCTATTTACCTAGTGTAATATGATATATCAATTTAATTACGAATTTTAAATAATAATAAAAATAATTAAAAGGGTAAATATTTGGGAGATTAAAAAAATCAAAGGAAGAGGATGAAGGGATAAATACGTGGTCATTTGTAAAAAAAGTAAATTCTCTTCTATCTCCTCCGATAATGGCTACACCATGTCTCAATCATGATTTTTACCATTAAACTTTGATTAAACATTGGATTTTTCCCAATAACCTTCGTCTTCACTGGGATTATAGTTTAATATGAGATCTGGGGAAAAAAATTAGGGTTTGGTTGAAAGAAGAAGAAAGATAATTTTTGAAGAAACAAGAAGAAAAAAATTTCATATGAAATCCATAAGAATAAAGGAAGAAAGAAAGATAAAAATAATGAAGAAGAAGGCTAGAATACAAAGAAAATAGAGGGAAAATACAAAAATTAAATTTTATAAAGTGGGTAATAGTAATTAACAATTAGAAATGCCCAACTGGGGTCATTTTAATATATAATTTCATCTCTCACGCGTCTTTTGGCAAGTTACCTTACTTATTTTATTAAAAAATCGACGAGGTTTTTTTTAATATACAGGGGATATAGTTAAGGGGGATTTTGGGAACACCAAATAGTTTAAGTTTGTAACTAACAAAAACATGATAGTTTAAGGGGGTCTCAGGGTATTCACTCTTTGAAAAAATAAAGACTTTTGATATATGCCACGAAAATACTCCAATGTATTTCTCTGTTTCATATAGAATGAATACACTTTCAAAACTTCTCTTTAATTACTTGATCTGGTGCTGCTAATCTCTTGCTCGTCTAGACAATAATCTACAGAATACAAATATCTAAGCCAACTAACTCATACGGTTCATGCATACATGCTTGTTTAGCATTGGTATGGCCAAGAATATCTTCCCAAAAAGATTATTTCTTAATGGAATCATTCTCCGGAGATAAGTTACATTAAATATTTTGCAAAAAATTTCTCAAAAGAAAGAAGATTTTCAACCAAAAGTGGGAAAACTACATTAAATCATTTGAAATATTTTCTCCATATCACATGATTCAGCTGGTATTTAGACATATTTGTATAGGTCCGAATTTGGTAACCACGGTAACGGATAAGCAAGACAAAGGATGGGGTCGACCACGACACATCAACTGACGGTCGTCCTCATGAAGGCCGACGCTAGAAGCGGGCAACTGAGATAGGATAGTAACGGTAACTTAAATTAAGAAATAGGCAGGAAGAACATTCTTTGGATATTCTTTATATTGTACTTTTTAGGGTTTTTTTGGGGAATGTCCCTTATAAATAGGAAGAGAAAGATAACAAAAGGGGATCTGCCTTTCTGAACAAAGGAGAACACATTGTAAAAGCTGAAGGAGGAATATACGAAAAGTTGTCTTGCTCATACATTTAAGCACATGTTGTTCAACCTTTATCCATAAATCTCAAGATCCCAGATATATATTTTGGATCTCTCGTATCACCACGTGACCCTCAAAGTGATGGAATATCCTAATCAAACAATCATTGGGTGAAAGTTCTTTTTTCCATTACGTTATTTGTCATTGCATACATTTATTGCTCATTTATACTATCATCAATCATAGAAAATTAAGTCTATTACTTAATGCTCCAAAGCCCCACGCATCACACTGAAATGTCTTTTCATTAGATCTAGAATTTATTAAGTTCAACTAAGATTCATCCTTCTAATTTATCATTAATTGGTTTAGCATTTAAATTGCTCAAACAATTTGGCGCCGTCTGTGGAGAGTTGTTCAGTTGAAACTATAGTTCTTCCTAGGTCAAAAAGAAAAGAGAAAGACAACCATCTTTACTTTGTTTGCACATACTAACAATGGCAGGAAAAGGAGATGCAAGACTGAAAGCAATAGCAGGCGTCACTACCAACCTTCTAAATACCATCAACGAAGATGGTAGAGGAGACAACGAGAACGCAACACCGAATGCCACGCCCAGGCGGAGTTCTTCACCTCCCCCTCACGAAAGCATAATAGTTTCGCACGAAAGGGGAGCCTCCACGTCCGCAGTTGAAGAAGCACCACCAGCACAGAAAAAATTACTGGAAGAGTGGCTGACAAACACTCTAAACAATATACTTGACAGACCCGTTCAAAGGGAGAACAGAAACACCGCGCAAGCAGATACCACAACAACCCTTGGCGAGCAGCCCGCCCCTCTAACAGGTAACACTAACACCACTGTTGATGCAGGTAACGATGCACTTACAGCCGTCCTAAAGAAAATGGAAGAAATGGAAAACGAAAACAAGGAGCTCCGCGACCAGATGAGGGAGCATCAAGAAAGGGTTGATAAAATACCAGGCGCCCCAAAATTACTGCAAAAACGAGATGTTGGTCGATTCGTCGAACAACCGCACAACGAGGAAGCGACTCCACATGCCATTCCCAAAACCTTCAAGATGCCATCGTACCTGAAGATATACGATGGCACTACAGACCCCGAAGATCACATCGTCCATTATGTCACAGCGGTGAAGGGCAAAGATCTTTTGAAGGAGCAAGTACTATCAGTGTTATTAAAGAAGTTTGGCGAAACCTTAACAGGCGGGGGGGGGGGGGAGCCCTAACCTGGTATTCACAACTGCCGGCGCGATCGATAGCGACGTTCGAGGAAATGGCCGACAAGTTTGTCACCGCCCATGCAGGGGCTAAGAAGGCAGAAGCCAGGATGAACGACATATTCGCCGTTAGGCAATCGCCCAGCGAGGGACTCAGGGACTTCCTCGCCCAGTTTAATAGGGTGAGAATGAGCCTACCAAATGTATCAGAAGGGATGGCTATAGCGGCTTTCTAGATAACGGGTCGAGGGCAACCAGAAAACTATTAAGCAGGCTCATGAAATACCCTCCCACCACTTGGGAAGAAATTCACAATGCCTATTGCGCCGAGGTAAGAGCCGACGAGGACGACCTTAATGGTCCGACCCAACAGCTGACATCAGTTCAAATAGAGCCGAGGAAAGATCGTCGTAACGACGGTCGAAGAGATCAACCAGGTCCCCGTATCAACCGAGAAAGACATCAGCCCTACGTCAGAACAGTCGTCCCACCGTCTCCCCGACATGCAGAAGGGCTGCCCAGGCCACACACTGGGACTCAGAAAAACGAAAGAGGTATGCCTCCACTCTTATCCGCTCACAATTTTTGTGTTTCCCCTTCATAAATAGTGTACGCACTAGAGAAGCTCGACACTAAGGTGAAATGGCAATAGAAGATGAAGTCCGACCTCAGCACGAGAAAATCGAATGTCCTCTATGAATTTCACCAGGAGCGGGGTCATAAAAATGAGGATTGCGTAGCTCTACGGCAAGAGGTAGTAAAAATGTTGAACCAAGGGCACCTGAGGGAACTAATGAGCGACCGGGGATGGGCCAACTTTGGTCGCGGACGTGAACAGCACCAGGGACCTCCAAAGCCACCCTCCCCCACTCGTACAATCCAAATGATCGTCAGCGGAGGTGACGAGGCAGTGATCAACCATGTGAAATTCACCACTACACACAAACTCAAGCGGTCGATCACTCACGAACGGTGTGATGACCTCGAAGACAGTATCATCTTCGACAAGTCGGATACCGACGGTTTGACTTTCCCTCATTTTGATGCTCTTGTTATTACTTTACGTATTTCAGATATCGATGTGAAAAGAATAATGGTAGATGATGGAAGCGGCGCGTGTATTATCCACCCTCGGGTCCTCATATAGAGGAGACTCGAGAACAAGATAGTACCGCGTTGCATAACACTAACGACTTTTAGTAATGCAGCTGAGCGAACTTCTGGAGAAATAATACCCGTTCTAGCCGGGGGAGTCACCCTCGAAACAACGTTTCATATCATGGACAAAGATATAGCTACAACGCTATCATAGGAGGGCCATGGATACACGCCATGAGTCTGTCAAGACTATATCTAGTAATCAAGTTCCCTACCCCATGGGGAATATTCAGCATCCCAGGCGAACAACGCACTGCTCAAGAATGCTATCGCATCGCCCAGGATTGCACGTACACCCAACAACTAAAGGGAGCAAACGCGGAAGCATAGCAATTAACAATGTCAGAAACTAAATCCGACGTACAGATAGACGTCATCAAGGATCCCGACATCATGGAAGCCGCTGAGTCGATGATAGGAGATCTCGTCCCGTACTGTGACATCCCGAGGAGGGTCCCTTGTTGACAAAGTCTGAGTACGACCTCCACGGTCGGCCTCGGACAAAGTAAATTGCATCCCTGCCGATGCAATAGCCTGGCGAAATGCTGGGACTGGAGCCTTCTTTCTGGAAGTCCGTCGACCTGTCACCACATAGAGGTCGTATCAATAAGCGATAACAGACAGCCGAAAGTCGGAGCAAAAGTAACTTACCAGATGAAACCTTTGGTCCAAAGCGTTTGAAGAAAACGGCCTAATCTCGGATCCCCACCATGCAAGGTAGCACGTGAGCTACCCAATCCTCAATGGCGATGACGCGAAAGGGTGCACACCTCTCAGCTGTACTTAAAAATCGCAGATGAATAAAAGGCAGAAAGAACGAAAGCAGATAAGAAGCGTACGTCATCGACACCTACGCTGATGATTCCACTGCTCTGGAAATCTAGCAGGGTCCGACACCAAGTGCTCCGTTTTGATAAATAAATACTTGTGCCAAAACTTCCGGCTCGCCCTGTCATCCGTTCCAACCACCAGCCCCCTGGTCCCGCGATGTCGTAGATGGATCATGGTACCTCTATGAAAGCTTGGGGAAAACAAATGTATAAGGTGGTGGATGTCAACCTCACACCCAGCCAACTCTGCGCACATCGTCAGTATCAAGAAAATTTTATACAAATACGGAGACAGCTGTGCTGGGCAGACTTCGTAAAATCGACAGAACTCCTCCGCTAGCGGGAGAAGAGGGAGAGTATGACCAATCACGAAAGGATACACGTAAAAAGCACAATATCCAAGTCTGTGGACCTCTACAATGTCCCCCCCCCCCCCACCTGGAACCATCTCGATGTGAGAAGGAATACGGTATGTAGGCCGGAGTTCATCTATATGAGATGGCTCGGTTTTCGAGATCACCGGAACAGGGGAAGGAGCAAGCTTCTTATGGAAGTCGTTTCTGGATAAAGGGTTTCTGGGGAGTGTCTCTTCCACGGTAGGAATACTATCACCCTCCTCAGTCGCGATATCCTCGCCACCGGAAGGGGGAGCCACTGACAACGGAGTGGCGTCGGAAACGTCGTCATGTGCGCGAAGGGTTCGAGACATCTCGATAACAGAAAATGTGCTAGTAAACCTAAAGGGAGAGACGATAACTAAACATGAGGATGAGAAACAGAATTGCAGAAACGGAGCTAAGAACTGATAAAGATGATCAAAGGAGAATAATGTGCATACAAGGAAGGAAATGGCAAAAATTTCTGGAAAAAAACAAAAATCCTGACCTATTTATAGGGCTGGGTGGCGCGAGAATCGAAGCAAAAGATTGTCAACGGCGCTAAAACCGAAGCGACGAGCACACAGACGTTGTCTCGGGAAGATGCATAATGATGACGCACGTGGCAATGACGTCACATCTTTACAACCATACCATTCAGGATTCCGCATGTTGTGTCGTCCTCTCGATCTTAGTCAACCCGGCGCAATCTAATAGCCAAATTCTCCCATGACGGGAACGCATGATGTCCGCTTATCCAGGACGTGCGGGGCCACGACCTCAACAGATAGAGGGACTTACTGTATAGGTCTGAATTTGGTAGCCACGGTAACGGATAAGCAAGGCATAGGACGGGGTCGACCACAACACAACGACTGACAGTCGTCCTCATGAAGGCCGACGCTAGAAGCGACCAACTGAGATAGGATAGTAACGGTAACTTAAATTAAGAAATAGGCAAGAAGAATATTCCTTTGGATATACTTTATGTTGTACTTTTTAGGATTTTTTGGGGGAATGTCCCTTATTAATAGGAAGAGAAAGAGAACAAAAGGGGATCTGCCTTTCTGAACAAAGGAGAACACATTGTAAAAGCTGAAGGAGGAATATACGAAAAGTTGTCTTACTCATACGTTTAAGCACATGTTGTTCAACCTTTATCCATAAATCTCAAGATCCCAGATATATATTTTGGATCTCTCGTATCACCACATGACCCTCAAAGTGAAGGAATATCCTAATCAAACAATCATTGGGTAAAAGTTCTTTTTTTCCATTACGATCTTTGTCATCGCATACATTCGTCGCTCATTTATCCTATCATCAATCATAGAAAATTAAGTAAATTAAGTCTATTACTTAATGCTCCAAAGCCCCACGCATCACACTGAAACGTCTTTTCATTAGATCTAGAATTTATTAAGTTCAACTAAGATTCATCTGTCTAATTTATCATTAATTGGTTTAACATTTAAATTGCTTAAACAATTTGGCGCCGTCTGTGGAGAATTTTTTAGTTGAAACTATAGTTCTTCCTAGGTCAAAAAGAAAAAAAGAAAGACAACCATCTTTCCTTCGTTTACACATACTAACAATGGCAGGAAAAGGAGATGCAAGACTGAAAGCAATAGCAGGCGTCACCACCAACCTTCTAAATACCATTAACGAAGATGGTAGAGGAGACAATGAGAATGAAACACTGAACGCCACGCCCAGGCGGAGTGCTTCACCTCCCCCTCACGAAAGCGTAACAGTTTCGCGCGAGAGGGGAGCCTCTACGTCCGCAGTTGAAGAAGCACCACCAGCAGTGAAAAAATTACTGGAAGAGTGGCTGAAAAACACTCTAAACAATATACTTGACAGACCCGTTCAAAGGGAGAACAGAAACACCGCGCAAGCAGATACCGCAACTACCCCTGGCGAGCAGCCCGCCCATCTAACAGGTAACACTAACACCACTGTTGATGCAGGTACCGATGCACTTGCAGCCGTCCTACAGAAAATGGAAGTAATGGAAAATGAAAACAAGACGCTCCGCGATGTGAGCACGTGATTTTTGCCCTATACGAATTACTCCCATAAATTCAAAACAAAATAATTTCTTTTAGTGTTTGCAATTTCGTGGATTTTTGTGGCATTTTTTGTTAATTGTTTGTATTTTGTCTGTACATTTTAATTAAGGGAAAAAGGTCGAAATTGTCCCTCTACTATTGTTTATTGGTTGCTTGTGCCACCCGTTATACTTTTGGGCCATTTTTGTCCCTACCGTTAACGAACTTTGAATAAATACCCCTAACCCTAACGTCTGTACACTGTGGCAGCTGACCACATGAATTTTATCCAAATCAGCTGCCATGTCAGCTTCTACATCAGCGGGCCCACCAATATAAAACCCCACAACACCCATTTACTATACTTCGACTCTTACCAACAATTAGGGTTCAGACGGCCCCATGAAGGAAAATTGGGACATTGAAGAACCCCAATAATAATTTGGGAAGAACAGAAGTAGCACAATCCATTTACTGCAGGAGGAAGACACAGTGGTTCAGTTTGCCACTGTCCATAGAGGGCGAAAGTTCCTCCACAATCCTCCTCGCCATAATCATCATCCTTAACATCCCGTTCTTTGTTCTGCTTTCCAGAATGCTTCAGAACCTGACCGTAAAAGCAAAGCAGATTAAGGTACTTGCAGAGTTGTGGACAATCAAAAATCATATTGCAGGTGAATAAAAGATTTATGTGCAGACAAAAACCTTTGGGGTAAAGAATCTGATACTTGTTAAGCCATCTTTCAATTATGTATAAGCGATGGTTTCTGTAAGCCTAGAAGCAAATTAGTTCAAAACAAATCTATCAGTGCAACGTAGTCAAATTTTAGTGAATATTTGTGTTTGTTATACCTGTTGATTTGTTGGAAGAGGTTCAGTCAGTGCCCTAGTTTCCAACTCCATATCTTCGAGAGAGCTCCTGGTTGCTGTAAAAGAATTCCTTCTTGAGAATTCTACACAATTTTTCTCGCTATGTTCATGCATATCCAGCATACCTGTTGATTGTGCTAATTCTGAGCCCTATTGTTGGTAAGAGACGGATAGTAAATGGGTGTTGTGGGGTTTTAAATTGGTGGGCCCGCTGATGTGGAAGCTGACATGGCAGCTGACTTGGATAAAATTCATGTGGTCAGCTGCCACTGTGTATAGACGTTAGGGTTAGGGGTATTTATTTAAAGTTCATTAATGGTAGGGACAAGAATGGCCCAAAAGTATAACGGGTGGCACAAGCAACCAATAAATAATAGTAGAGGGGCAATTTTGACCTTTTTCCCTTTAATTAATGAAAAACACACAAAAATATATGTACATTTGAATTTAGGGCCCTATTTTATATTTTTTTAGGATAATTAGTTAATTAATTGTGGCATAATATGAAAGAAAATAACAAAAATAGTTTATTTTGCATTTTTGACTTTTTAATTGTCGAATTTATTATAGTTTTCTTTTTAATTTAGGACTTGATTAATTTTGAGAAAGCAATTAGTTTAGTGTTGGAATTAAATCAGGTCTTCTTTTTATTTTAATTTGTATCTAACAAAATCTGAAAAAAGAAGAAAAAAAGAAAGAATTGAAAAATAGGAATTGAAAAGAGGTGAAGATAAAAGAGAAAAGAGCAAATTTGGGCTGTCTGGATAATTTCTCCAGGCCCAAATCTTTACCCCTTAAACCGCCCAGATGTTTGGCCCAAACCCACCCCTGAACCGGTCGAGCCCCTCCTTCTTATCAAAATGACCT